ATTTAGGGATTTATCTAAGTAACTTTTAGTAAGTTGATTGACTTTATCTGAAGTTTGAGTTTGGAGACAAATTGTTTATTACTATAGCACTAGCACAGTACTAAGCACCGATTAGTTGTTGTTTGTATATTGATTTAAATGAGGCATTTCTTTGTGTAGTTTAAATAAGATTTATATCTTTTTGTATAGTCGGTTGTATACTGTTTTGATTTCGTTCTTGATCTTTTCTAGTTTTCCGTTTCTTACAGACTTTTCTTGCACTTCCATGAACATATAATAACATCACGTCTTTTATTCCCGAAGGGGTAGGCAGTGGTGCACATTATGCCACTGTACAATGTAACACCTACTTTTCACTATTTATGTTATGAGTCCCATGTAATAGGGGGTGAGCATATACCGGGCACAATTCCAGACTCCGTGCTACTACTGAGAATTTTTTTTAAACCCAGTAATACTTTGTCCGACCCGGGAATCGAACCCGGGATCTCTTGCCCGGTAGTCACAGTTGCGACCACTCGGCCAACGAGGCACTTCCATGAACAACCGGTAAAAGGTAACATTGTTTTTTTAATTTCATTTTCTGAATTTGTTTTATCGGTCTCAGTTTTGTCCAGTCATAAGCACAATTTTTAGTTTATTTTGTCTACAGATTCAGCTGTAACATTCTCCAAAGATTTACAATTATACGTTTGACCTACAAACATTGATTGCATGTTTGTTTCTAGTTGTTATGGATTGTTTCACGAGATTAGAATGACATAATGATGGGTTGTGCACAGAACGCTTACAAAATAATAACATACGATCTATGCATTCGCTCTATAATATATTATTATAGTGATTAATTACTGACATTCGGTTCTTGTGTCTATTAAATATATGAGTTACGTAATTTACAAAATATAACGTTCGATACCGATGCGTTATATCGTAGAGTTTTAATTTTATAGGTACGTTTTGTTTTTGGTAGTACATTGCCGTCTACTATATCTTTTATACTTACCTAGTAAATATTTCTTGGTAAACTGTTATAATGCTAAACCATTGTAAAATGACCTTAATCGCAATAGACTTGGTTTCTATTTCCTCTGACGATGTCCTATATATTTTTTCAGTTAGTAAACTTTTTTGACTGCAAGATTATTGTATACTCTATCTGTCTAGTAAAGCTAAATCAAGAATCTGTTGACTGACCAGATAAATATAGTATTAACTAAAAATAACGATTTATTCACGTATATTGAGAAAAGCTCTACTAGTTTCGAGTCACAGAGGGACTCTTCCTCATGGCGACGTCACGTAACCTACTATACAGTATAACACAGTATAATACAGTATATTTACAGATAAAATATAGACATGTGTGCATACTAGGTATTGTTGAACATTACACACATAGAGGGGACAATGAAGGTCCTCCACTACACATAAACCTGCGTGCAAAGTATGTCGCAACCCTCGCATACTTCAGCTCAGTGCTCAATGGCACGGAATCCTTTGTCTTCTCACTGCAGCGTCATAGTAGGCATGCCCCAGTATCTCTGGCATTCTCAGCCTGGTGTATTCCAAGGAATTTTGTGTTGGGTTTTATGATTTTTGTTGGTTCTGAGATTCTAGTGTTATTTGAGAATTTCAAAATAAATAGTTTTAAGAGAAAAATATTACATATATATACATATAACATCACGCCTTTTATCCCCGGAGGGGTAGGCAGAGGTTCAAATTATGCCACTGTACAATGTAACACCCACTTTTCACTATTTATGTTATGAGTCCCATGTATTGGGGGTGAGCCTATTGCCATATACCGGGCACAATTCCAGACTCCTTGCTACTACTGAGATTTTTTTTTAAACCCAGTAATACTTTGCCCGACCCGGGAATCGAACCCCTTTGCCCGACAGTCGCTCTTGCGATCACTCGGCCGACGAGGCAGTCAAATGTGTCTTTGACAGTCAATACAAACTATTGAAAACAAATCTTAAAAGCACATTTGTTACCGATGACTTCCTTGGCGTATCGTGTTCAGTAATTTCTATTTGTTTCAGTAAATTTTATGGATTATTGTAATCATATTTTTTTTGTAATCACAGATATTTAAACAAATTACTATGAAATCATTTGACCTATTTTGTTTGCCATCTATTAATATAGACTTATTTTGAGATGCTTATGCTTGATTTAGAGACATTTGAATACTTACCAAAGAAAGATATAAACACGCTATTAAATAAAACAAAAGAAATGCACAGTTAAACATAATTTATTTCATATTATTTAAGTATCACAGATCCATTTATTTTAATATTCATCACGTTAACAAAAATATATATAGTCTACCGGGTGATGACGTCACCATTACATAGCATATTATGTTCCGACTACTATATAACTGCGATACATGATATTTACAATCTATCACATTATATACATTTATAGAAAATGATCTCTATGGGCTCGTTACACTGTCGAAATTGGACTGTAAGAATTTATTAATCATCATGATAGTCAGAATCAGACACAAGACGTCCAGTGCTGAACACAGGCTTCACCAAAAATTACTTTTGCTAATGAAAATCTGACAAGCTAATATGACCAGTGGCCATGACTGTAGCGTTCGGGGCCTGTGGCAAATTCATCAGATGGGCCCAGTTTCCAATAAAAAATAGAGAAGTTTAGATGAAAACCTCTGTACGGTGAACCCCTTCCAGCTGGGGCCCGTGGCATTTTGCTGACTTGCCACCCTGCAGTTACTATCTGTCTACATCTCCGAGTAGTTTATATAATCATGTTGTAGTAAAAGTATGAAATGAATAAAAACATTTTTAATTTAACTTTCACCGCGTGCGATGACAACTTGATAACACCGATCGCGTTGTAACGCCAGAGGGATGTTTCATATTAAATTTTGTTCGTTCGTTTCATACAATTTTAATTGCAATGAATACGTAACTTTGTTCCACAATTTTTATATAATAAACAAAATATTTTGATGAAAAACAAACAAGATTTTAATGCAAATATTCTATTTAGGTAATTGATTTTATATCGAACTTCATTAACCTCTTGATTGTACCTCTGCGCAAGAGTGAGAAAACAAATTTTACTTCTTTCTCAAGTAAGAATCTTTACTATCTTTACTAATATTATAAATTGGAAAGTGAGTTTGTTTGTTTGTTATATGAATTACAATAGAAAACACATTGCGTCGATCTGCGTCCGCATGTCACGGGTTAATACTTTTTTTTAATTGGTCTTGGTAAATCAATTGTCATTCATGACATTAACAACATGTTACCACAAACTGTACCTTTGTTATAATTATAACATGAACATAACACCTGTTTTATGGGGTGGGTGTAGGCAGATGTTTATAACGTTAGTTTCCCATGATAATATTACCAACACTACTTAACCATAGTCATTAATAACTGAGAATTCGATAATTTTTTTTTAATACTGAATACTCAAATTGCTAAAGCTACAGTTAAGTGCGATTAATATTTAATGCCCGAATAGTTAAGGTGTACTTAAATGTCATGTCATCTCTGTACACAAATAATTTGTAGTGATAGAACTACACCTAAGTGCGTCTTAAAATTTAGAGGTGTTTGCGTATTTGGATCAGGAGAAGTATTTTTGGGTAAATAAAGAGAAGTTCTTTTCCTTGCTATGACTCTTAGAGGCTGATATAGCCTCTAAAAGTCGTAGTAAAGTCAAGTCAAAGTAGAAAGATAAGGCCTTACTCCACTACTTTCATTTTGGCGACACTATCCATTTTTATTGCATGCTACTGTGTTTCTGAAAATATAAATACGACTATTTAACTTTATATTTTTTTAACTATCTAGATTAATCCAGAATTTCTTTATCCCTATTAGTTTAATAGCTTCAATTCTTTCCAGTCCCATTACGACAGTAAACGATATAAAAAGACGAAGATAGCAAGATCTTTTCTATTGGTAGCTGAATTGTTCAGTTCTATTCTGTACGCGATAATTTAGAAGGGCAGTGATTAGTGGCAGTGTGGCTCTTTGTATACTTTTATGTAGCTATTGGTTGGGGAATTGTGTAAAGGAATCAATACTTTGTTTGAAGATGTGGTTCATTTCATGCTTGTGATGCAACTATTGCTAGTAGGAAGAATAAGAAACATGGTAAGATTGGTCCATAGTTATCGCGTACAAAAAGAACTAAGAAGTTTGACTTAATAGTAGTTTACATTGAAATAGTTTTAGTTATAAATGCAGTTGTGAAGTCTTTTATAGTACAAGAGAATATTAGATGAATTTCACATTATTCAGTTTATGTATGCGGCAGTGAATGCATTCAGTAAGATAGCAGTGATTTATAAAAGTTCATCGTGTCTTATAAATATTGCAAATTCATCTAACATCAAATAAAAATACTTATGTATATTGTAACTATAAACAGTAGCTAAATAAGCTCAGAGTTAGACACGTATAACATTCTCTTTTAGATAATATTGCCAAATTTTGCTGTGGCAGTCATTATTTGGCACAAAGTTCGAATCTATAAGAAGCAAGTCCAAATTAATGCGAGCAAATAAAGTAGAAAAATAAGCAAATTTCTCAGTTAATAAAACACTCAAACACTATACAAAAAATAACGAAATAACCAACTGACGCCGACCGTCTCAAGTCGGCAATGTTTCTTTAAAAGACATTGTAGGCACTATTATTGCTAATATAATATAATTTATTCATCAATCGCTTATCTACAGCATAGAATATTCTATACAAAATATACTACGAAGATTTTACAAACTTAGGCCGTCGGCCTACGAAACTATACTTTTTTCTAACGTAACATTTAAACTACTCATTAGTTTACCAACAATCGTCCATGTACATTCGTTCGTATAGGCCTATAGTAGCACAAATATCATCATTTACGATAGTCTCATAACATTCATTCGGATACATACCGAAAATTTGAAGTCATTAATTATATTGGGAGTGGGGTGTACGAGGAATTCATAACCAGGATGGCCTGCCGTGCAGTAGGTCGGCGGCATCGTGCCGGTCCATAGTTCGCAGCGCGGCGGCCAGGGCGGCGGTGGCACCCGGTCCGCGCTCGCGACACTCCCACAGCTCCAGGATAGCCTCTGTTGGCGAGCTCTTTGTGGCGAACCACGTCGTGTAACGATCTACTCCCAGCCTCGAAGCCAGCGCCCGCCAGTCGTTCCCGCGCGCGTTCGGTGGGTCCAATATAGCGCATAACTGCCTTTTTACTCGAGCACTTAATTTAAACGGGCCCTCGCCCGCGCACTCGTTGACGCCCGCCTCACTAACTGTTACGTTCCTTTTAACGCTGCCATCGCTCCCGTCTTCGCTGCGGCACATGCGAGCCTCTAAAAGGTTTTCAGTTATGTTAAAACTGCGCTGCGACTCAGCGCGGGGTGAACGTCCCCGCGGTGATCGGCTCCGCACGTCATCGAGGGATATTCGGAATGTCTGCTTGTATGACGGATTGGTTCTCTGACAGGCGGATACGCTGAAATCGATATTATCGCAGTCGTGAGTCCTCTCAAGCACAAAACTGCAATGCAGCGCGTTGTAGTTCGAGCCCCAAACGTGTTGGAAAGGGATCTCTTGGTAACCAATACCCGGCTTCGCTTTCCAGCCGGGGCTGACGTGTTCTAAGTTCAAACAGAGATTCGATCCACCGTCTTGGAACAGCAAAGTTTTGGGACGCTCAAGTAACACGCCGCCAAGTTTCTTCTCCTGTTCCTGACAGTAGTAGGCCGCGCAGAGCGTGTCTTCAAATACATACAGTCTTATACTGTAATCTGCGCTGGTTTCACTCAGCACTGCGGGCGCATATATCGCCAATTGAAGCGCCTTCACTGCCTTTCCATTAAAACTTTCACCGACTAATACAAAAGTAGACAGCATATCGGTCACTAAGAATATTTTATCATTGTCGAGTTGAGTGAACACGGGAGTATTGATCGTTTCCTGGCCGAGGCCGACGATTTTCTTCCATTGCGGCTGTGTATTATCTGTTTTAGCAGTGTTATGGTCGATGGCGTACAGCGACAGATTCCAGAAGCCGTGTTTTAGACTGGCGCAGTGAGGGATTTGTAGGATGACTGACTTGTTTAATTGAAGACGCGGTGGGCCGCACTTAACTACTGGGCTCAGCTGCGTGATACCTGCGGGGCGGAATTTGTTGTGAGCACTTCGTATTCTACATGTAGTACATGTGTGTTACAACCCGGCCTGCCCAAGGCGACCGTTTTTTCCCAAGCAGAAATTATACCTCGCTGATAGCATAGCATAATTACATATCGTTTAAAATTACCTCTGGAAATTGTTCTCTATCGTATCGCAAAATCAATTTATTTTTATTGGACTTACATTCAAGCAAAGTTATTCAGTTTGAACTCATAAATATTCATAGAAATTTGATGGTTTAGGGCATAATAAATACAAGAGCGGAACATCGAAAATATTTATCGAAATTTAATTATGTATTACATCAGCAAAGTTTGAGCTTTAAATAATAAAAATGGGTTTTTAAATTTTAATTTGATTATGAAATTTTAATCTGAAGAGAATAATTCGTACCTTTTCCCAATCTTGGTCGATAGCGGTCGTCCTTGACGACTGCGACATATATTTGTTCCCTCCTGCCCCTACTAAGGGCTGCTTCAGGGATCGAGAGAGCAACACCAGCGGCAGGTAATGCCAACCTCGCCCCAGCACTTGAAACTGAGAGGGACTGAGATGTAGGCGAGTTCGACACGAGTTCCGCTAGTTGGAGAGTCACGGACTCATTCGCTGCGTCGTACATTGAGCCAGCTAGAAGAGAAATTATAGTCAGTGAAGTTGTATTTATTGGTTAAATACGAAGCGTGACGGATAGATGTAATAGTCGACTTCTTTAAATTTGGATATGCATTAAGATAGAAGATAATTGTAATTTGATATTATAACTTTCAACAGAATAATGTAAAACATGTTTAAGAAAAAAATAGAAACAACTTACAGCTTGTAAAACAGCTGGAGGCAGAATGTTCTGATTCACTGTAAGGCTTGCTGTCGTAGTCATCACTTTGACCTTTACTGGAGGCACAAGGTGTCACCTGATGGTCTACAGGAGACGCATAACTGTAAAGATGGAACCCGGTTAATAATGTGATAGATAAGTAAAAGAATTTGTGTCGTATTCTTAAAGCAATAGATGTTATTTTCTAAACAAGCCACGCCTAGTTTATTCATTTCAATTTCTGTCAGCGACAGATAATTTTCCGCAATAATAGACTTTATTTAAAAGACAAAGATCAATGATTAAACTTCTCAGAAATAAAATCAATTCAAAATCAAGTTACTGAACATTATAATAATTTATTGTTCAAAGCACAGCTGCCAGAAAAACTTTCAAGTATGAACGCTGGTTAAAAAGAGGACGCAAAAATTCGTTCATTTTTTGCTGTAATACTATTAACTTAAAACGAAACCAGTAATTTATTTAGTAATCCATCCGGAACATTATCGTTAAGTAACATATCGCTAAAATTGTTATTAACATCATTCATAAAACATGTATCTATTAACTTTTTGCTCAATTAAAACGTTATCAACGATCGGAGGAATCTATCAGAGATCGTATGTGGTATTTGTTTTAGGTTGCTAAATCATTCGGGGACATGAATTATGTATTTTGTAATTGCGTCTTCTTGTATAATTAGCGTTTCTAATCGCCATAGTTATTGAGCAAAAAATGTTATGATTTATTTCATTGCTATCTTTAGTATTTGTTTGTTCTAGTTTAGTCGTTAACTTGTTAATCTTAATCTTAATTGTAATTTATTCGCTAGATGTCCTAACCTGATTTGCCTGAGGACTTGTTTTAATTAGACATGTTGGTTGTAAATTATAATTCTACTAATTTATTTGTTTGATTTAGATTTTAACGGTTATTCAGAGCTGTGTCACTCGTGTAATTAATATCTTGAATGGCTTTTATTGCTTTGCTATTTACTGTTGGAATGGGTTTAACAAAGCTGTATAGCCTCAAGGATTCGAGTTTTTTATTGCATTTAGACGAGACTGTACATTGGCAAGTTGATGAGGACAAGATACAGCACGTTTGTCATTCGTGCAGTACTTGGTACGTAAAGATGCATTTGTCCACAACGTTGAATTGTAGATCACTTGTTTGTCCTTAGTGTAGTTACCGGCGTGAATCTATCCTTGAAAATGGAGAATAATTTTGAAGTCTGTCGTAGATAGATATAAAGATACAAAATATATTACCCTGAACTAGAAATCAATCTAAGATGACAATGTTTGGCGTTCATACTTATGACTACTTACAAAATATACAGAGACGGAGCATACAATTTTATGTCACTATAGAACTAACCTATTAGTAAGATGCGGTACATCATAATGATGTTCAGCTCTGGAGTCTGGCTGCGGATGCTCATATCTTGGAGGTCGATGCTGCATCAGATCAGGAGCTAGAGACAGAGACTGTTTCTCCACTGTCGGGTACATCTCAGGCTGGAAATCTGCTTGAAGAAGAAATGTTGGCATTTTAATTATGCGATATGAAAATAGAATTTTTCAGAGTATCCCGTGAGGGTGTGGACAATTTTTTAATTTTTTACACAGAAATTACTGAATGGATCTGAATAAAATTTTGCATAGTGAGAGATGGATGGAATAACACATAGACTTTTTATTTCACTAGTGCAGTTTCACAATTGTTAATTAGATGCATCATCCATAGAATACTCTGCCAATATTAACTAGGTATTGTTCTGCTTATGACATGTTCCATTATGATAATCATAAAGTCAGTGTCGACAGCTAGGAAATGGACTTCCGAGTGGAAGTTCTTGAGTTCTTGTAAGTGGTATATAATTGAATTAATCAGTACTCATTAATACTGGCAAATCATTTCACCGACACACCGGTTACGTTTATTAATTAGTATTTCCTTATTCTTTTGGTTGAATGGTTTTGTAATTCTCACAGTATTTTTTTCATTTTAATGTGAATAAGAAATAGCGTCCAATAATAAACTATATAACTTTATCGTAGCATTCAATTTACTTCTTGCATCACTATCTTCCTCTAGCTATTTCATCCCATGACCTTGGTAAGAAGAAACTTAAAAAAAAATGATGATCACCACGTTTCCTCGAGAAGGATTTGGTCAAGTTCCTTCTATACTAACTTTAACTTTTCCATTTAACTAAGTTTTCATCAAATATTACTTAGAGACTTACCAGTTCTTGTCATGGTGTACAGAGAATGGTCCCTGGTCTTCCTCTGCAGAAGTTTGTAGACCACTGCTGCTCCAGCCAAGAAGACCACTACTGCAACAGCTATGCCAATGTATAGTGGTATGTCACTATGTGCTGCCACTGTTGACAAAGGAAAATTGATGTTATTGATTGACGAATATGGCTTAGATTGGCGTGAAAGTGGAAGATGAAAAGTTGCTGCAACTTAGAATAATATAGTAGAAATAAAAAATACTGTGGAATGTTACAAAGTTAAGTAAAAGTGACAGTATTTCTGAAAATCTCCCCAATTCATGAATCCCTAACAATCCTCAAACTCCTAATCCCCAAAAGGCCGGTAACGCACTTGTAACGCCTCTGGTGTTCCAGGTGTCCACCCAGGGCGACGCCAATTGCGTACCATCAGATGATCCGTCAGCTCGTTTACCGACTTATGCCATAAAAAAAATTGTCGCTTTTATTTTGTCATCAACAAAACAAAGAAGATAAGATTTGCAGCAATAAAAATAATGGTAGTAGCTGTCATAACACTAAAGGCAAACTTTGGTTTGTCAGTTCAAAAACCACAACTCGAAAACAGAACACATTCATCATTCTACACAAAGAAACATAAATTACAAAGTAAGTTCGTCTCGCTAACTTTTAAAAGGCTCCTCTATCCAACTACACACCGAACATTTGTATTCAAAGCAAACAAAAAAACTATAAACCATCAACTTATTAAGCACCTGATAAACTTTTGTGACCATAAAAAAAGGTTTAACGATAAAATAACGATGTGTCAATTTAACGATTTCCGTTATAACCCCAATATAAGAGGCAAATTCGTTGAAATTCAAACTTTTCAACCGCAATCATTAAATTTGTTTACGTTCATTCAAAATGTACTTCATTTCACGTTGTCGGCAGCACCTTGGTATTATTTATGTCAACGTGGCTTTATAGCTGTGTTCCAGAGAGCGTCACAAACGTTAATTTAACTCCCGAAAATAGTGAAAGCTATTTTTAATTACGAAATGAGTTTAAAATACGGTAATTAAGTTAAATTGTAAGACTATGATTTTAGACAACCTGGTAAGATAATCTTTACATTAATGTTAATAAAAATGTATTACTTTTGGAACATTCAATAACCGAATACTGAGTGTATGCTATCAGTAACAATGTAATCTAAATAATTTTACAGTAAGATAGTATTAAAAGTTTTACTTATTGGACAAAAACTCCTAATCTTATTCTAAAGTGCTGAGAGACTTTTTGCTCCTGTCTTTCGTTAAAATGTCTAAGATACCCGAAATATCGTTTTACGATTTATAAAAAAAAGTGAAGCTGTCGTAAAATTTACATATCGCCGCGTTCAATACGTCACAATCTTCAAAAAATGGACCGGCGGCATTTTTTAACGATTATACATTTTTTTGTGTAATTCCTTGCCGTGAAAAGGACTCGTTATTGGATGTTTTTAACGATCCCTTTGATCCTTGTATAGTGGTTGTAAATGTGGGTTTTAAGGGAAATTGTAGGGACATATGGCATCTTACTTTAAAGAGCGTTTAATGCTAATGCGCTTCACGTGGCCGTTGTAAATTTGATGGATTTTGAGAGGAGTAATTTAAGCTTTCTCAATTTATTTATACATCCTATTTTATGATTTTTGTTTTATTGTATTGAAATTTTGACTTTGTCGTCTTATTTACTGTCTCTATACTAATTTATTTTAAGTCTACGTTTATTATTTTTACTAAGATTCTTTTGTAGTCTTGCCTTCCATATATTAGTTGCATTTTTTTAAGGGGGGAATATCATCGGGTGACTGCTCCCGCCTGAGGCGGGAGGGAGTGTCAGACTCTTACTGACTAAAAACTACCCCATTCCTTCTCTTGCACTTCGAACCGGAGCCCCGGTAACCCGTTAGGTTCTTCGCGACTATTTCAATTGTATTGAAAGTATTTATTTGCAATTTTTAGTTCTAAATTCATGCACATGGCGCTGTTTATGTTTAAAGACACTCATCTCTAATTAGCTATTTATTTCTGGCTTTAACTTATACGTGTAGTTTTGGTGACAACAAGATATCATTCATATTTCAATGTGTTCCCATTTCGTACAGCCCTTTCATTTATTAAATTCAGTCCAGTGTAGTTGAGTCATTGCTCTTACTCATACCACGACATGACATGTGGCACCGATTATGCTAATTTCATTTGTCGACAATATTCGTTATACGACATCTCACCATATCCTTTCTTTAATGGTAATCTTCAGATGTTTTCCAAAATGTTTGCATTGATTTCGAGAATGAGTTTTGCCCAAGGAATAAGCTATCATCACCATCCCTTACACATATTTATGACGGCGCGTCGCTTTCCACGCACGCCTTAAAAAGCCAACAGACCACCACGGATGGGGGCCTAATAGGGCTGAAGCCGATTCGGAGTCGCGTAGAACCTTACGGGTTACCGGGGCTCCGGCTCGAAGTGCAGGAGAAGGAACGGGGTGGATTTTAGTCATTAAGAGTCTGACACTTCCTCCCGCCTCACCTAGGCGGGAGAAGACGTTTGATGATTTTCCCCTCTTAAAAAACACGTATAATGGAGGCAGAAACTAAGAGTGTGTCTGTTGTTAATTCTTCTATCCAAGTGATAAAATAATCAAATTCTTAAAATTTATATTTATCTTGATACAAGTGATAGAGCCGAAAGTGGTAAATTGACACTACCTACTCATTATTGGATGGGAACTATTGTCTTAAATATGCATTTCCGACGTTTGGCTCCAAAGTTGGAGAGGACGGGGGCTGCGTTCAAACGCATCCTCCCCAACCTCGGGGGGCCAAACGCCTCCTGCCAGAGGTTATACGCCGGGGTCGTGCGGTCCATGGCCCTCTACGGCGCCCCTGTTTGGGCGCCGAACTTGTTGCGGCGTCCTGCTCGGACGCTGCTCAAGTCACAGAGGGTCATGGCGATCCGAATGATCCGCGGATACCGCACGATCGCTGGGGAGTCGGCGAACCTCCTTGCCGGATTACCGCCGTGGGATCTGGAGGCGAAGGTGCTCGCGCGCGTGCATAACATGCGCGCGGAGGCACGTCGCCGGGGCGAAACTCCGCTGCCGCGCCAGATAAGTGCGTGGCGGGATGAGCTCCGGCGCGATCTCATGGCGGAATGGCAGCAACGACTGTCGCAACCGAGGGCTGGGCTCGCTGCCATTGCAGCGGTAAGTCCCCTCTTTGAGGAGTGGCTTGAGAGACGCTACGGCGTCCTCACCTACCGCCTGACGCAGGTCCTCACCGGACATGGAAGTTTCGGGAGGTACCTGTGTCTGATGGGGCGGGAGGAAACGCCCGGGTGTCATCACTGCGAGGACCACCCTGAGGACACGGTGGAACACACTGTTGCGGAATGCCCTGCGTGGGCTGAGCACCGCCGTGCCCTCAGGGAAGTGATCGGCGATGGAGACCTCTCGCGTCCGGGCCTAGTTCAGGCCATGATGCTGAGCGAGGGGGACTGGGATGCCATCTCCTCCTTTTGCGAAGCAGTCATGCTGGCTAAGGAGGAGGCGGGACGCGCGAGGCAGCGAAGCGCTGCCTCCTCGCAACCCAGCCATCGCGAAGGACACACCGGGCGTCGGGGATCGCGGGACGATTTCCGGCCACCGTAAGCGCGGGCCTGCGGACGGCGAGCATGGGTGGCTCCCCGTCCGACCAGAAACAGACCCGAGCGTACGGCGCGTCGCGTTCCGCGCGCGCCTCAAAGAGCCATCAGACCACCACAGATGGGGCCCAATAGGGCCGATGCCGATTCGGAGTCGCGGAGAACCTAACGGGTAACCGGGGCTCCGGCTCGACGTGCAGGAGAAGGAACGGGGTGGTTTTTAGTCAGTAAGAGTCTGACACTCCCTTCCGCCTCACCCAGGCGGGAGCAGTCATTCGATGATTTTCCCCCCTTAAAAAAAAAAAAAAAAAAAAAAAAAAAAAAAAAAAAAAAAAATTGTCTTAAATATCATTCATACAAATACAAAACAAAACGAAGATGCATTTTGGACACCTGTCATTGTCATTTGTTGTCTAATAAAAAAATAACAGCATATAACTCATCTTCTAAGGTAGACAATACATCCATCACATACGTAGAAACCCCATGGGAACTAAAAGCGACAATGTAAAAAACAAAAGTTTGTAAAACCGCAATGGTGCAATGCAAAACGATTTTCCACGGTTGAGTTTTACACCTTGAATAGTACACACGACTTCACATCAAGCTACAAAAACCAGTATAAATGGACCGTCGAATTCGCAAAAGGTCTATACAAAGCGAGACCAGGATAAACTGGAATTGTATAAATTGATGTGTACTAGAACATAGGCTTGGCATTCTTAAATTTCTCATAGAGGTGACACAATGGAAGGAGTTAATAGGCTGTTCGGAGCTCAAATAACTAACACGGAACAAGTCTGAGTGGGAATGAGTAAATGAATTTACTTACAATATTGTGTTTTTGATGTTCGTATTTGTGTATTACTTCAAATTTTACATAAATATGACGTCGATTTTGAAAGAGAAGGTATGAAAGGAGAATTTTTTATTGGAGCAAATTTTAAGTTTCTGTATATGATATCGTATTGAGACTTCAGTGTCCGATTGGGCACCAGATTAAAGCATGAATAAGATTAGGCTAGTTTTTAGACACAGTAAGAGTCTGAAACTCCTTCTCCTAAGGCAGGAGAAGTCATTGGATGATTTTCCTCCCTCAAAAAAATGTAAACCAATTTTGTTTTCTTTTTAAAAAACGTTGCCCCGCAATAGGATTTCTTCCTGTGTTTTAGGTACATTTACAAACATACAAGTTCACATGCACATGATACCACAATATGATATCACGCGGAACAAAGAGTTGTTCCGCGTGAGAATCGAACCCGAACTGATTCCAGGGTAGCTAGTTTCCCAGCCACTGCGCCAACCATGCAGTCAGTTCTTCTGATGAAGAACCATGCTTACTAATATGGAGCAATAATGCAGTCATAATTCAAATATTCTTTATTATTTTCGTTCTGCGTCTTCAATATTATTTTTAATATCATTTTTATAGTGCACGTTGTATTCTTTATTAGTAATATTTAT